AGTGTCCATTACAATTTTTAATACTTTCATGTTTTCCAGTCTTTCAGTCTCTACCATAGAGTGCAGACATTCAGTATATGTTAAGTGGAGACATGCAATGTCTCTCTTTCATAGCCTGACTTGCTTCACTCAGCAACAAATCTTCCATATTCGTCCAACTTTTATTGTTGTTTTTTATGGATGAATAGTATTTCATGGAGTATATGTGCCACAATGTTTCAACCCATTCATCTGTTTGTGGACATTTGGGTTGGTTCCATGTCTTAACAATAATGAACAAGGCTGCAATGAATATAGATGTGCAAGCGTTTTTCCGACTGAGTGTTCGCCTGTCCTTTGGGTACTCAGGAGTGGAATTGCTGGATCATATGGTAGTTCTATGTGAATTGCTGGATCACATGGTAGTTCTATGTGAAGGTCTTTGAGGAACCTCCACATCATTCTCCACAGTGGCTGGACGAATTTACATTTCCACAACAGTGTAGGAGTGTTCCCCTTTCACCACATCCCCTCCAGCACTTATCATTATTTGTTTTTTTAATCTTTGCCATTGTGACTAGGGTTAGGTGGTTTTGATCTGCATCTCCCCTACAATGAGGGATGTTGAGCATTTTTTCATATGCTTTTTGTATGTCTTCCTTAGAGAATTGTTTATTCAGCTCCTTTTCTCATCTTTTAATCGGATTAATCATTTGCTTGTGGGTAAGCTGCTTGAGTTCCCTGTGTATTCTGGCTCATTGCATTTTTTAAGGTTTTTATCACAGAGAGAAGGTGCTCGCCAGAGAAAGATAGGGACAGTGAGAAAGAAAGTGAGAAATAACCCCACTGGGGGAATGACTACACCACAATCCCTTCTCTTCCATTCTCCTGGGACTTTGGGCATGCACACACGTGCACTTAGTGTGGTTTTCAAGCCACCAGGTTCAGGACTTGAACTGCAATTGGCCATGTGGGAGTCTAGCACCTTAACCACGATAGCACCTGCTGGCCCTTTAATTTCATTTTTCTAAAAACTTTTTAAAGTCTTCTCATATTCACCTTCACTGAAAAGGCTTGAGAATAGTAACCCCCCCAATAACCATGAGCACATACCTTGATTTATAAATACCATTCTTTACTAAAAGAAAACAGAGTTCTTGGAGAAATGACCTCTTCAAAAACAAGAGCAGAAAATGTACTGTCAATTACTGAGTAACAGGTATGAAAACATCCAACTAGGATCGCGTATTTCTCTCTTTAGTTGTCTTTTTTTTTAATGTAAGAGGCATTTGATACCTCTTCTTAATGAACTGGCCCCTTTAGCATCTGTATGAGCTCAAGGTGTTAAAACAAAATACTACAGGCTGGGTGGCTCAAATAACAGTAATTTACTTTTCCAGAAGTCTGGAGGCTGGAAGTTCAAGGGCATGTCGCCAATAGGGTTACTTTCTGGTAAGGCCTTTCCTGGTTGACTTTTAGATGGCTAAATTCTTGCTGTGTCCTCACATGGCACTTCCTTTCTGTGTGTGGAGGGATAGAGAGATCTTTGGTATTACATTTTCTCTTTTTATAAGGACACCAGTCCTATCAGATTAGGGCTCCGCCATTTTTAATTCATTTGATTTTGATTGCCTCCTTAAATGCCCTGTCTCTAAATACAGTCACATTGAGGGTTAGGACTTTAACATATGAATCTTGAGGGAACACAATTTGGTTGTAACATTATCTATACCATTGTGACCTTTTATGATTTTTATCCTCTGATCTTAAAATCTACTTTATTGGATATTATTGTAGTCACACCACCTTGCTTACATTTGGCATTTGCATAAACACCTTTTTACCTCTCTTTTACGTTTAACTTGTCAGTGTATTAATAGTTACAGTGCATCTCTTGTAAACAGAGGTTAGCTGCGTCTTGCTTTTTTATTCATTAATAAAACTAATTTAATTTGTAGTTTAAAGCCTTCTCACAAAAAATATTTAAAAACAAAACAAAAATACTACAGGTCCAGAAAAGAAACAGGTGAAAGAAACTCATAAATATTTTTTTTTGTTCTTGTTTAAATTTGTGCCATAGGGCATGTGTGCTTGTCAGAGACAGACAGACAGAAGGAAAGTGAGAAATCATCTCCCTCCGGGGTGATGATCACACTGCAATCCTTTCTCCTCCATTCTCTTCTCGGGGTTTTAGGAACACGTGCACACATACTCAGCATGATTTTCTTTCTTTATTAAAATGTTTTCATTTTTATTTACATTTAATTATTATACATCTTTACAATGTACAGCATGATTTTTCCCAGCATATTAGTCAAGTCAAAGACATCACCATGGAAAAATAAAAACCATATGATTATATCAATTGGTGCATAAAAGGCGTTCAATACAATACAACATCCCTTCATGATTAAGACTCTCAGCAAAATTGGCATAGAAGTGGCATTCCTCAACACAATAAAAGCCATCTATGACAAACCCATAGCTGACATCATACTGAATGGGGAAAAACATAGTTTTTCCAATAAAACTGGAACAAGATAAGACCTCACTTTCTCTACTCCTTTTTCTTTAATCATTTTAATTTACTTTATACATTTAATCACTGCACATCACTACAGATTATAGAATGAACTTATCCAACATGAATACACTTCACACCGGTCTAGTTGAAGATATCATATGCATTATCGTCAGCAGATAATCCTCCATTTCTGTGTCCCTTAAATATCTTGGCTTTCTATTTTTCTCCTTGATTCCTCTTCTCTTACTCTTTCCTATCTCCCACTCTCTTCCCACCCTGTCTCCAGTATCCATAACCATTTTCCATTATTCTATATCCTCTAATTTTTTAAGTTTGCTCCATAGAGTGCAGACAGTCAGTATATATTAAGTGGAGACTTACAATGTCTCTCTTTCATAACCTGGCTTGCTTCACTCAGTAGTAACTCTTCCACATTCATCCACTCTCTATCAGATGCCAGACTCTTGTTTTTTATGGCTCAATAGTATCCCATACTGCCTATTCTCCACTCCTTTTTAAAATAGTGCTGGAAGTTCTAGCCGATGCAATCAGACAAGAGAGTCAAATAAAAGGCATCCAAATAGGAAGAGAGGAAGTGAAATGATCTCTATTTTCAGATGATGACTTTATACATAGAAAACCCAAAAGAATGCCCAAATATCTCTTGGAAGTGATAAATGAATATAGTAAAGTAGTGGGATACAAAATTAACATACAAAAATTTATAGCATTTTTATACACCAACAATGGACAGACTGAGATAGAATTGAAGAAAACAATCCCATTTATGATATCCACAAGACCAATAAGATATCTAGGAATAAACCTAACCAAAGAAATCAAAGACCTCTACAACTAAAACTATGAAACACTTGAAAAAGAAATGGAAAATTATTCAAAAGAGTGAAAAAAAATTATCCTGGATGGGAGAATTAATATAATCAAAATGACAATCCTACCCAAATTAATCTACAAATTGAATGTAATTCCAATCAAAGTACCAGAAATATTCTTTGCAAAAACAGAAAAAAATATATAAAATTTGTCTGGAATCATAAAAGGCACTGTATCGCCAGAGCAATACTGTGCAAGAGGAATAAAGTAGGAGGCATCTCACTTCCTGACCTCAAAATATATTACAAAGCTGTGATAACTAAAACAGCATGGTACTGGCACAAACACAGGCAGATAGACCAATGGAACAGAATTGAAAACCCCCCAAATAACCCCCAAAACATACAGCCAACTAATCCTTGACAAAGGACACAGGACAATCCAGTGGGAAAAAGAAAATCACTTCGGCAAATAGTGCTGAGAGAACTTGATATCCACCTGAGGAAGAATGAAGCTGGACCCTTATCTCTCACCATCAACAAAAATCAACTCAAAATGGGTTGAAGATCTAAACATAAAGCCTCAAACTATGAAACTACTGGTGGAATATACAGGGGAAACTCTTGTAGACATCAGAGTAGGCAAAGACTTTTTTTAAAGGACCTCCAAAGCATAGACTATAGTTCCAAAAAAGGACAAGTATAACTATATTATATTGAGAAGCTTCTGCACAGCAAGAGAAACAACAATAATTAGAATGAGAAGACAACCCTCAGAGTGGGAGAATATATTTGCAAACTATCCCTTAGATAAGAAACTGATAACCAGAACATACAGAGAACTCAAGCATCTTAGCTGCCAAAAAATAATCCATACAACTAAAAGATGGGAAAATGAGCTGAACAGATAACTCTCCAAGGAAGGCTTATGCAAATAGTCAAAAAGCATATGAAAACATGTTTGATATTTCTTATCATGAAGGAAATGCACATCAAAACCACAATGAGATACCACTTAATCACAATGGCTAAAATTTAAAAAATAATAGTGATAAGTGCTGGTGAGGCTATGGTGAAAAGAGAGCTCTCCGACACTGTTTGTGGGAATGTAAATTGGTACAACCACTGTGGAGAATGATATTCCTCAGAAATCTACAAATAGAACTACCATACGACCAAGTAATTTCACTCTGAGGTATTTACTCAAACAATAAGAAAACGCTAAGTCAGAAAAACACTTGCATACCCATGTTTATTGCAACATTATTTACAATTGT